GCTAGTTTTTTTATGTAAACACAGGAATGGATATGAATTTGCACTGTAGCTGTTTCCTAGTAAAACAAGTCTGATAAACTGGGTCATATATCAGGTACAGATAGGCAAAGGTGAAGGTCTGAGAAGGTGGAGGTTCCAGGAGTGCAAAGGACACAATTCCAATTAACAAAGCTAGCTAACTAGTCTCTCTTACTGCTAGCTTTACCTGTATGCTGTTTGGTGCTGAGTCAGGGGTGTGCAGTGGATATATCAGAACCTTTTCAGTGGTAACACCTGCCCACTGCTGCTGAAAGCAGGGTAGGTGAGAGCAGTGAGACTGAACCAGAACAGTAAAGTTATAGGCCCTAAAACCAAAACAGTGAGCTGGAAGATAGGTTACTACAATGCTCCATAAAGCTGAGACAGACTACAGAGCAGGGTGATTGTTCTCTGTGGGTTCATTACTATGAGTGGGCCTTGTCATTTGACTCATTGTTAAAATAGAAATATTGATTAGTTCAGCTTTATAAATAATTGGCTTTTATTTTAAATGGCTGTCTGTTTAGAGCCCATGTGTCGTCCATTTGGAAACTGATGACTCCGTTAAGCTTTTCATAAGCAGTTAAGCCTATGAAGGGAACTATTTAAGCCTTCAGAATGATTACAGTTAACCGTGAAATGCGGTAATTTAATTTTGAATAGGTAGCCTTCAGGACACACTGATAAACTGAAGGGAATCATTGCAGGTTTATAGCACAGCTGTACTTCTGTCAGTCTGCCTGTCATACCTGCAGTCATGCACAGAACTCTTATCATGTGATGCAGAGGTTTAGCTCACAGTGATCAGCTCTTCATTAACACATTCATTGTTCTATGAGACAATCCGTCTTTGGACGTCCCTGGGACTGTGGCGCTGGGTGTTTAGAGTTTTTGCATCTCTCTCTGTCATTCACACTCTGTCACACAGTGAACTTTATCTTTCTCTTTTTCACTGCTTTGCTTGTTGTGCAGTGTGCGTCTGTGTCCATTATAATATATTGTTTGGCTTTTCAGTGTTTCCCACTGGTGAACTTCACTAATAGCTATCATCGATCATCTTCAAACACACAAACACACAAATGCACAGGTGTACACATGTATACATGTATCTCTCCTACCTCCTGCTCAGCCAGGAAATATGGTCCAAATGTTTGCTTTCATTAGGAGAACACAATCCATCAGTATTCTCTCTGAGTATCTAATAGTAACCAGCAATTCAAAGTGCTTTTCTTTTATCAATCGATTGCAGTTGTTTACAGAATGGATCATCAGCAGCACCATCATGATAAAAAAAAATTGAGATATTTCAAATGACTTTGTTGCTGTCCGTGCTGTCGGTGTATTAATAAAACCTGATATGTTATATTTTATTTACCTTTAAATTTCATTCACATCTACAGTATTGTAGTCAGGTGGAAGCAGATAAGTCAAACCTTGAGAAAGAAAACCAAATCTATCTGTATGGCTATATCATTACAGGTACAGTAAGTCAGAAAATAAGTCATCTGGTGGAAAGCTGTAATAATCTCACCCCCGCCTCCCCCCAGACAAACCATGCAGGCTACAAAACTTCTCTGAAAACAGCTGCTCTCCGAGGCTTTAAGTGTCATTATAATTGCACTGTGAAAACCATGTTCATATTCACCTTTTATTGTTTGTCACTCTGAAAATTCCTATAAATTGCAATTGTAAATTGCATGTCATTGTAAGTAGACAGGATTATTGGCCAAAGACACTGCTCAGCCATGCTGGTAAATTAGGCATCTCTGACTTTGTTGGCTTCCACAGCTGATGCCTGCCATCCACAAAGACCTTATTAGGACTTGGTGGTATTAGACAGTGAGTTGATTTTTATTTTAAGAAGCAATCCAGTTTCCTATTATGCTGCCATGTCTTGTATAATAGTTCCAACGTTCACTAAGACTGTTTCTTAGTGAGAATGTACATTGCAGTGGCGCCTGCAGGATCATATGCACAAGAACCACCTAGGGCATGTGATCCTTTCATGTTAAAAGATATTTTTCTCATAATTACGACATAGTGTATTTTCTTGTTATGACATACTGTATAGTAGGCTACTGGAGTGAGTGACAGCCGCAGTGTTGCTATCAGGAGGTGTGCTCCATCCAGTCCTTGAGAATCACTGATCTGACATTTAAATCCACCCACACTAATTAGTCCACAAAATAACACATGAATGCAGGTCATGATAAATACAAAAATACCCTGCACATGTCACGATAACATTACAGGCACTGACAGCAGGTGAAGTCGGTGTGTGTGCTGCTAAGTGACAGCAGCATGTTAGGGAGTAGGCTATTATATGATCTGCTCCAGGGGTGTGTGATATCATATTATATATAGCTCCTCTGGCCATAAATTTGAAACTATAGTTCCAAGGAACTTGGATTGCTTATTTAAGAGGAAGATTGGAAGTAAAGAAATCATTGACTGATGACCCTCCTCCTCTGAAACCATCCATGTGCCATCACATGCTCTGGCTTTAATCTCAGTTGCTGGGGTGGCTGCTTTGCAGGCAGGTCTGCTGTGTCACTTCAGAGTGCTGACTTCATCTGTGATTACAACTGCTATGGTTTGACCTCATTCAGTCCTCTGATGTTCAGGGCATTCTCTGTCTCTATTATCACTATTAATGATTCATTTCCAAAGGACCAGTTTTATTTTACAATTCTGTTGTCATTTATCAAGCCCATTTTTTACTTTGATGTCAGTAATTTTATCACCCAGCAAATTCTGGGTCACAAATTAAAATGACACATTTCTGAGAGCAGACTGTTCTCAGTTTGCCCCAGTCAAATGCTTCAGTGCTAGTTATTAAACCCGAAGAAATATTAGGCTCCTAGCAGCTGGCCTTTTTAAAGAAGATTCTGAAACTCTGCCAAAATCACAAAGTCCCATTTGTCAGCACAGTGGCCCCAGAGCGCAGGGCTTCATATGCAGTTGATACTATCACCATTTTGCACTTGTGATTGATCATGAAAGCAACAGAGAGCAACTCCATTTTATTCTGTTCCGCTATAGGACTCATGGATCAGGGACTGCAGCAGCTGTAGTTAAACTTCACCAGCTTCCTGCAGGCAAAGATCAATGCCTATTCAGAAAAGAAGGAAATGGCTAGAGTGAAATGAAAACATCAGGAAAGATGTAGTAGAGGAGAGTAAATTGATGTGATATGGTACAGTAATGCTGCACTTTTGTAATGCGGGATTTAAGACTGCAAAGCAGAAGTTCAATTCTTTGCTTCAAAAGGATGATGGTCTCTGTGTGTGTTTGATTATGTACTGTGCAAAAGTCTTAGGTCACCATTAGTTTAGCTGTTTTAGCAAGGTTGTAATGATGACCTATATTTACTTCTCAGTCTCTTTATTAAGATATAGCCAGAAAATACAGGAAATATGTGCACAATAATAAAATGTTCTGAGCAAAATAGCTTCTACAGTCCAAAGTCAGTATTTAGTGTGACCTCCCTTTGCACTTAGCACAGCTTGAATTCTTTTGGGGAGACAGTCTTGAAACCATGACAAAGCCTCAGCCATGTTTCACTGAAGGCTGCTACACTCATTCTTCCACCACTCTCCAACTCTTCTTCTCACATTTCAGATTTTGACTCATCGCTCTATATGACTCTTTTCCGCTGATCTTCACTCCAGTCTTTGTGAGTTTGTGGTTTCTCGGCTGCTGTCCTTCCACAGAGGCTGCTCCTGATCGAGCATCTGACTGTGGAAGAATCAACTTGGCATCCAGATGAAGCTGCCAGATGCTGAGCCAGGTCCTTGTTGGATTTCCTCTGGTCTCTCTCAGAAGAAACTCTTGAGAACCTTCCCATCAGACTTTACTAGTTCTCTTGGTCTTCTACTCCTGTTTTTGTCCTCGACCTCTCCAGATTCTTCAGATTTCTTTAGAACACCACAACATCTTGAGTTTGTTTGAAGACTTTTTTCTGACATGTTTGTGATTTTTAATACTGTGTACATATTTTCAATATTTTGTAGCTGTATTCTAATGAAGACACTATAGTCATCATAGCATTGCTAAAACAACAAATCCTAAGATTTTTGCACAGTACTGTTAGTACAGTGAAACTTCCTGCTATAAGTTGAGATGAGAAAGGGTAAAACAAGCTGAAACTATTTACCTCTACCTCAGTGAGCCTCATTGCCCCCCTTTTTAAAAAAGATATTATAAACAGGGCTTTTTTTCTTAGTGTGGGTAACCTCTACCATCACATGACTGTTAAGCCAGCAAATAGCTTTTAAAGTTTTCTGCTAGATGCAGAATGTCCTCATACAGCATGATTATACTTTAAAACGTTTTACAGTATAACATCACAACACTTAGTTGTGCCACTCTGTGGTCAGCTGATAATTAGCAACCCCCGTCACAACACATCTAACAAAAAGTGATTTGTTTTCAAATCAGACCGGTTTGATTGTTTAACAGGGGTTTGACTCCATATATTTCTGTAACAAATGTGTCAGGATTCCTAATGAGCACAAATAGGTGGCCATGGGAATTCTATTCACTTTTTGGGAACAGCAACTTTTAACAGCAGAACCTGTCAACTGAGCTTTAGTACCATAACATTGCTAAGCCATGTTGTTTGGATATTTTCCAAAACACCCTAATTAAAAAAAAAGAATCTGTATTTCTGTAATGCATGATGTTTATCATTTGCCTATATAGGCAAATGAAATTCCTGAAGTTTTAAGAAGTTAACTGAATGCAGGTAGACTGTTCAAAGCATTTGATAGTTTGAAATGGGATCATAGTAAAAATAAATATAACAAACTGGTCATATTTTTTATTTATCGCATTTCTTTCAATGGATATATTTGATAGACAGTATTTGTATCATTGATAGCTGCATGTAAAGTAACTTTCAAAACTGCTTTTGGTGATTTCACGGAAGACGTCTTCTCAAGTCATAGCTGGAAAAAAAAACTGCACTGGTGTAAATAATAAAATTAATGATGGCTGAATTCCATTTGGCTTTCAGGGTCCTGCATGCTGGGTCACTGTCACGGCTGAATAGAACATAGCCGTCGTTAATGTTATTATTTACACCTGTTTGTACCACAGCAAGTTAAAAAGTGTGCTGTAAAAACGTTAAGTGCGAGCGTATTTTCCCCTTGATTTATTCATATACAGGGTCTTCAACAAACAAACATGAAAGCCTAAACAAACTGCCGAGATCCACAGTCAAAGACAGGCTATCGGGGTGTTTAATTAAAGTCCTGCTTACTGGTCTTGGTTCTGCCACGGCCACGAGCGCGTGGGGTTGGCTGCACGCTGCTGCGTCATTTCCTGACAGAGGACTGACGGTCGGAGGCGAGAGAGCCACCAGTCGCTGTAGTAACGTCGAGGAAGCACAGACACCGAGCAGCAGGTCACCTCCACAGCGCAGCCGCGCAGGTAGGAAGACCACGACCAACAAGCAAACGTCGTAACACTGTTGCGGTTATTTTTGTCAACTTGACGCTGTTTGGCACGAAAACCCTGAGCGGAGCGGGATATAATGAACTCCTGAGGACGCTGGGTGGGAACAGAAAAATAACTTTCAGCCTATTTTATTTTTCTACTTCGAGGAAATGGCCCGTCCTCTTGTTGAATCGATTGCGCACCGGTGCTAAAAGTACTTTCCAGTTCTAGGGTTGTGCATTCTGCCTTGTGGAGCAGTCGACGGTGACGCGGACACCAGAGAAGCGGCAGCTCGGCAGCCACCTGACCTCCTGGAAAATAAGACCGCAGCTAATGACACGCAGGCTGAGGTCCTTACGTGGCTCAGCACTACGCTCATTGACGGTGCGGGACGAGGTTTCCACGAGGCTGTTGCGTGTACAGTTTTGATGCACCGTTTCGCACATGAAGTTTTCAGAATCCAATTACTGATCTGTAAATTATGGTAAGTGCTAATTAATTTGTGAACTGTTAATTTGAATTGGTTGGACTGAAGTTTACCATTTCATCTGGCAATCTAGTAACAAGTGGATCATCTGTCGGAACCGGGCAGCATTGGTATAACCGGACTGCACGTTCTCCAGCGGTAGAGATGCCAAGCGCCACTCTGAATCCGCGCCGCCAGCCCGAGATGCCTGCTCTCTAACCCGCTTCATTGTGGCGCCGTGTCCTGGTCACACCTCCAGGATGAGCAGCACCGACCTGGAGCGCATGTCTCTCAGCTCCTCCGCCAACTCGGTGGCCTCCAGTGCGCGGACTCTGTCGGCCAATGTGAGGAAACTGCACAACGCACTCAATCTCCTGCTCTGCGACTTCGAGAGAGAGCAATTCATCCACTGTCTCAATGTGTACCACTCCAAGCGCAATGTGTACGACTTGGTGCAGACTCTCAATGTCATCCTCAACGCGCCCAGCAAGCGGCAACTTCTACCCATGCTGCGGCTGGTCATCCCCCGTTCTGACCAGCTTCTCTTTGAGCAATACACCTCGGAGGGCCTCTACTTAAAGTCGGATTTAGTTGCAAGCAATGGTAACGCTGAACCCCCTCCGGGCGACTTCTCCAGGGCCAGCCCGGTTCCCTCGGGGCATTTCTCGCCAAACAACCCGCCCGACTTTCACGTGGCATTGCGAGGCTCTCCGGACAGCTTCAGCACCAGCAGCGACGGGACAGCTCCTCTGGTACCGCTGCTGGGTAGGAACTTTATCCACGAGCCGCCGGGCGAGCTGCGGCAGGTCACCATGAAGCGGCACAAGAGCAACGAGGGCCTGGGCTTCAGCATCCGCGGTGGGTCGGAGCACGGGGTCGGCATCTACGTGTCCCTGGTGGAACCAGGGAGCCTGGCGGAGAAAGAGGGTCTCCGGATCGGCGACCAGATCATGAAAGTCAACGACAAAGTCTTCGACAAAGTCACTCATGCTGAAGCGGTGAAGGTAAGTTTCTCTCTTTTTCACTACACCAAACATGTACACACACAGCTTTTAGTCTGTCCCGCAGCAGTTTAGCGAAATGTCAGAGTCATAGGAGCGATTTAGACTTTCCTTGTTTTTCAAACCTTCATCTCCTGTGCTATTGCCTTACCTTACTGTAGTTTGGCCCCAGTCATTTTGGGATGAGTAGGCTACTCATTCACACTTATGGTATGCTGTGTTTACTTAGGTATTCATAATTGTTGTTGTTGTTGTTTTTATAAGGTTCATATAAATATGAATGGATGTGCAAAAATACACAGTCAGGGCTTTTGCTATTTTTTTTTTTGCTGTGCAGTTTTTGGAAACTGTTCATTTAAAACTGAATTATACACAGTCTGCTGTTTCTCATGTATGATAGTTATAAAAATATCTATATTGTATTATTGTTGTGGCAGTCTTCATTGTTTCTCTTGAAAAGCAAATTTTAGTCTCAATAAGAGTTACCTAGTTAAATGAACAAAAAGCAACAATACAGAAGAGGTTCAGTAGTGTGGTTTCCATCTACGCAGGCATCTCTGGATTGAACTTAGCTTTTTTTGAATAGTGATTGTTTGTCCGTACTTGAACGGTTGTTGCCTCTGACAGCCGTGGATTATAGCTCAAGATAAGTCCTTTCTGACCTTCTCTCATCTGAAAAAAGTCATCGACGCTTTTATCTTTTCCCATATGGACTTCTGTAATTCACTTTTAAGCAGGGCTAATCCGTAAGGCAATCTCCTACCTTCACCAAATCCAAAAATACTCCGGGTATAGGCTTTTGACCAGGGGTGGGCAATTACTTTTTCTATGGGGCCACATGAGAAGCAAAAATATTGTGGAGGGCCGGGCCCAAAGGCTGAACTCAATTTTGCATAATATTAATTGTATTTCTTTATAAAAAGCAATAAATAGCATTGTTTTTGACAAGCTGGTAAGAGTATATGTTATAGTTGAGCAATGAAAAAGTGAGGTTGGCTTTACAAAAAATGTCATTTATTCAATCAAATTTCCCAAAACAATGATAAACAAAATGTGAACATTTTTTACCATTTGTGACTCATATTAGTGAACATTTCCAGTCATATTCACTCCAGAACACATTGAGTTTCATATACTGTTGGAACGTTGTGTAAAGGTTGTTAGCATTCTAAAGACATCACAATATTTTCTTTGTGCTCCAAACATTAAGCAAGATACATCGTATTGAACTGTCACTGAACATCACTGAACTGTGATTTTGAGAAAAAGAAACCAGGTTGATGAAGGATCAAGGAGTGAGGAACGATCAAATAATGAAACTGGGATTTGCTTCATGTTGTGTATTCAGAATATAGGCCACATATGTAGGTAGAGCCAAAGAGAACCAACATCTTCTGAGCATGTCTTCTAATGTTTGGAAAGTTCTCCTCCTTGAGAGAAGAGTAGAAATCCCAACGAGATCCTGACTTAAAATGCTCTGCCAGTACTGCATCAGACTGCAGGTCAATGAGTTCTAGCTGAACATCACTGGGTGCATTATCCACACTGCAGGTACAGGGAGAGGAAATCATGTGCATTTCATCCTCGATTGTTCTGAGATCCTCAAATCACCTTGAAAACTCACCATGCAATGCTCCTAACATGGATGAGTACCTGCGGCAGTGATCAGCTGATGGTGTGACTTCTTTCAGGGTTTGCATGTGAGTGAGAGTGTTGCTCTCCAGTTGGCTTGAAAGAAACTGCATCTTTCTCATGAAAGCCTTCACCAGGCTGTGCATTTCATGAACAAAAAGGCCCTTGCCTTGCAGTTTGGTGTTCAATTCATTCATCAGTGCAGTCACATCAACAGCAAATGCAAAATCTGCCATCCAGTCCTCATCTGAGAGCTCTGGGATGTCTTTGCCTTTCGTCTCACAAAACTCTC